TCTGATTTTCGTGTAATCGCAGGGATGGCCAACCCGCGGCCCGCGGGCCGCATGCGGCCCGCCTTGGAAAGTTTTGCGGCCCGCGACATATATCAAATATTTACAAAAAAAAATATTTTTGCGCCGATAGAATATTCTGGAATGCCCGTGCAACGCGGTATCTGTATTATTAACAACGTAATCGCAACAAAAGTAATAATTCTAATCTAATCTGATAAAAGTATATATACGAGTAGACACCAGCTTATAGTAATATAGCAAATCGAATTGTTAAAATAAAACGTGGCTAATAACAGTCATAATCTGTTCGTTCGCTGTGACTGTTGAAGTGCGTTCAGTGTGGAAAAATATTTAAGTACGTACTTTTTTTATTATTGTATTTTTTTTTTTTAATATGAGTGTGGCAAAGAAAAGAAAAATAGTAGACGAAAATAGAAAGTACAGTGAGGAGTGGGAAGAAAAGTACTTTTTTATAATTCAAAACACAAAATTAATGTGTTTGATTTGCCGAGAAACAGTAGCTGTATTTAAAGAATATAATGTTAAAAGGCATTATGAAACAAAACATAATGATTATTTGAAATTTAGTAGTGAAGTGAAACAATCGAAGCTCAGGGAATTTACGTCACAATTAAAAACTCAACAAAAAATGTTTAGTTCAGCATTACAGCAACCATCTAATATCGTTAAAGCAAGTTATTCTGTCTCATTTTTGATTGCAAAAAAAATGAAAACATTTTCAGATGGTGAATTTGTGAAAGAATGTTTGGAAGCTGTAGCAAAGGATATTTTACCTGATAAAAATAAACTTTTTTCGAATATAAGTTTATCCCGACAAACAGTATGTCGTCGAATTAATGACATTTCAAACGAAATTATTGTAAAACTACGCGATCGAATTCAAGATTTTAAATATTTTTCTATTGCATTTGACGAAAGTACAGATATATCAGATACAGCTCAACTTGTAATATTCGTTCGTGGAGTAAATGAATCATTTCAAATAACTGAAGAAATGTTAAAATTGATAAGTTTGAAAGGAACTACAAAAGGTGAAGATATTTTTCACGCTGTTGAAAACAGTTTATGCGAAAACAATTTGGATTTGGAAATTATTTCTGGAATATCAACTGATGGTGCACCTGCTATGGTTGGCAAAGAAAAAGGAGCTATAAAACTACTGATCGATAAAATAGAATCTACCAGAAAAACTAATAATTTCTGGAAAAGAGATGATTTATTTTAATCCATTGTTGATTCATCAACAAAATTTATGTTCTCAAGTATTATCGATGAACCATGTTATGCAAGTAGTTATAAAAACAGTGAATTACATTCGATCACATGCGCTTCCCCACCGACAATTTAAGGAGTTCCTGAAAGAATTGGATTCAGAATATGGTGACGTAGTATATTTCAATTTATATATTTAATTATAAATCAAAAATAGATTTTTATAATATTAATATCACAAAAGAACATTTTCCCAATTTGAGAAATCTGGCACAAAAAGTTGTGAGTGCTTTTGGATCGACTTACACTTGTGAATCGTTTTTTTCGAAAATGAAATTCGCCAAAGATAAATCACGCACAAACCTAACAGATGAAAACCTGCAACATCAATTACGGTGTGCAAATACAAGTATTTCTATTGATTTGAAAAAGCTTAGTGAACGAGTTGAGAAACAAATATCTCACTAAATAGTAATGTTTTTTGTATTAAATACTTTTATTATAACTTTTATATATTTTAATTTTTTTTTAAATTCTTTTATATTTTTATATGTGGCCTAATTTTGAATAAAATATGTGATTACTTATATTAATATTTTGGCTGATGACCTTTTTTTTTTTGGCAACCCTATATGTGGCCCGCAAGATTGTGATGTATTTACGAAGTGGCCCGCAAGATCATTTGGGTTGGCCATCACTGTAATGAATTAATTTCGTCGTTCATAGCATTATTCCATTCATTTTTGTTTGACCCAGTAATTGCCTCATCATAATTCAATGGACTGACACAGTTAGCAATAAAAGTCTGAACATTATACCTGTCCGGCTTCTTAAGTGTATTCCTGTCACGTAGAACCATAACATTTCTATCATCGACTATGTTTTCGTCCTTCTCACGCACGCCCGTTGAATTAATTTGAGTGTCTGTAAACTCTAATGTGTCTGCAATTACATTTTCATAATTATTACATTCGTCTTCGAATATAATGTCTCTGCACACGGATATTTTATTTGTTTTCGAATACCATACACGATAACCTTTCGTGCTGTTCGAATATCCAACAAATATTCCTTTTTCACTTTTTGGATCCCATTTCTGACGTTTTTGCTTTGGTATGTGTGTATATACCGCAGTACCAAAAACTCGTAAATGTTTAATATCTGGCACGACTTTATAATATAACTCGTAAGGTGGCTTACCAATCTGTGAACTCGTTCCGGTTAGATTAAGTGTATAAACCGCTGTGTTCACAGCTTCTGCCCATAATGACACGTCAAGATTTTTCGCACATATCATTGTCCTGGCAGCTTCTACGATTGTTCTGTTATCACGCTCGACTTTCCCGTTCTGTTCCGGCGTATATGCTACCGTAGTTTGGTGTCGTATGCCATATTTCTGTAGAATACCTGTAATATCCTTGTTTACAAATTCTAACCCATTATCTGTCCTTAATATTTTGACTTTAGATCCTGTTTCTGTTTTAACACTTTTTATAAATGTTTCCATAATATTTTTTACTTCATATTTATTCTTAATAAAATATACCGTTCTGTAATGTGAGTAGTCATCTCTAAATAATAAAAAATATTTTGACATACCGATAGAGTCCCTCTGCATCGGTCCACATAAATCTGCATGTATTAAATCGCCGACGTTAAAATATTCGGTCTCACTTTTACTGAACGATTGACGGTGTTGTTTCCCGATTATGCAGTCGCTGCATACAAATTGATCGTCCTTGGCTGAATAATCAATATTATGTTTTGCCAAACAATTCCTCACGTATTGAATATTCTGGTGCGCTAAACGCTTATGCCATACTTCTAATCGTTTTTCTACTGCAATGTTCGCAAAACATTCAGCTTTCGATGGTGCTTCAACTTTGATCTGTAATTCAAACAACCTACCGCATCTTGTGCCTATGCATACAGGAATCCCGTTTCTTTTGAACACACACGTTTTATTGTCTGACGTTAGTTCTAAACCTTTGTCTAACGCTGACCCGCACGAGAATAAATTAAATTTTAATCCCGGCACGTGCAATACATTTGCCAAGTAATTTCTATTCCAATTACCGTTCACGTATGATAATATATTAATATTACCTTTTCCTGTTGCATATAGATTTGTTCCGTCACCTATTGTTACCTGTTGTGTATATTTCAATGGTTCATAACTTGTAAACCATTCTAGGTTCGCGCTCATATGATCCGACGCGCCTGAGTCTAAAACCCACGTATCTGTTGTAGTTTCATTTATCCTTGACTCGCTTACAAATGCATTTAAATTTGTACCTGTAGTACCGGTTTTCCCACCTTTCATACTACTTAGACAAATCTTACAGTTTCTTTTATAATGACCAATTTTACCACAGTAATAACATTTAACATTACTTTTATTAGTAAATTGTTTTTTACCTTTACCATAACTGCCGTTTTTTTCCATCGGATCTGTTTTGAAATTTGGCTGGAAATGCACTCGATTTCTCTTGTTCACCAACTTCACCTTTGATCTGGATAACCCGTGATTCTTCAATCAACAACCGACTAGTTAAATTATTTATATTTTTACTTCCCGTTGGGACTGAATCCCAAGCACTGTAAAAATGATTATATTCTTTTGGTAATGTCATTAGTATTTTTGTCATAACCATGTTATCCGTAACTGGTTCACCCGCTACTCTCAGTTTCCTTCCTAAATTGACCAATTTAGAAATATGCGTCGACATGTCATCTGTCGACTCCTTTGAATAACTGAAAAATTGTTGTTGAAGCAAATGTATACTTGCCTCAGACTTCTGCTCGTAAATACTCAGCAGTTTCTCCCACATTTCCAATGCAGTCTCACAGTTAATCAAATATTGTAATGGACCATCGTCCACTGAGGTAACTATTATTTTCTGACATTTACCGTCCGCTTTTTGCCAAGCGTTTGTATGCCTTTGCCAACGTGCTTTGGCATCCTCGTCGGTCTCTCCTGCCGACTTTTTATAGGTAGACTTGGTTTCGTACATTCACCTGAAACTATCTCACCTACTTCCAAGGCATTTAGAATGACCTTCATCTGGAATTTCCATAACGACCAGTTTTCCGCACATAATTTTGTTATCTTCACCGTGTCTTCCATGACCGATGATTTCCCGTATACTTTACCTGTATAACAATTTATAACAAAACTTTACCTATGTACACTGTTCCGCCGTTTTCCGAAATCCAGGATATCTCCGACTGGTTGTAGTTTTCTGCGTTAATACAAATATAAAAATACTTCGATCACGAATCCACTAGACTGTATGTCTTGGTTATTGACTGGGCCCATAACCTGTTAAAGTGAAGCTGACGGACTAATGATGTTAGCATTAATATAATAAGTAATAACACGACAATATGATTATGTATAAGTATAATATATAATAACGTACAACTGGACAATTAAACTGTGACTATACACACACACCGCGTACACTCGGTATGACAGCGTCTGTGCAAGTGAATATTACATACATCAAAGGCCCTATTTATATGAACAATCGAGGCCATCCCGTATCCGTATATAATATAGAAAGCGATAGTAAAGGTGTTACACAGCTATATCGTAACTGCATAAGTATCTATTAGAAAACGACATTGTACACGCACGTGTGTTTACATGGTTTGAATACTAATATTAATTGTATATTTCAACAATCCACATATCAATTTATGCTGATCAAGTGCTGCTTGCCCACATAGTGTATTTTTCAAAGGTCGATTATCATACGATGTGAAGCAACGTTTGCAAAATACAACATTTTCGGTGTGTGATGTTTTTTGTGATCTCACAAGTCTCGAAAAATTAGAGATGTATGTGTAGTGGCTTTTATCACCGTTGGTAATTAATAGTAGATCGAAATGATCTTTTTTTTCTTCATTCACAACTTTAAGTGGGAAAATAATATGTTTTTTATTCTTTTCTTTTTTTAATCCAAATACATTGACAGACGTGTTCAGGTTATTTTTCTCAAATATTTTTATTTCTGTGATGGGTGTCGGGAATGATAAACCGATAAAATTATATTTTTCTTCGAGTGAAGTATAATTTTCAGCCACTTGATTTTTGACCTTACCCGAAACGTATCTTGCTAAGATTGCCCACTTGAAGCACTGTTGGTCCGAGTTTTGAGGATTGATAATTGCTTTTTTATTTTTAATGTCCTCTGGAAGTGTTATATAAGACGAACCACCCATAGGTGTGTAATTGTATATTCCTAATAATAAGCCGTCTATGGCTTCCAAAGTAAAGCCACTTCCTTTAGATGTATAAACATCCTCTTCGACCAATAATTTTACGAACGCTTGTTCTATTATTGAGTCGATATCCGTATGCATAAAAATTTCTCTGGCTGAAGTTTTAAACGCACGGTTCTCGGCTGAATTCTCTACGTTTGGCCGGCTGTACGTTGCTTCCAATTTCAGGTTAAATTTAATTGGGTGTTTTGTCGATGATGTTTTAAGTAATTGAATTAAGTCTTTTTTTGCTGATACTAAAAATGCGCTGAAGTTGTTCATATTATCTGTATTTTTCTTATAATACCAAATGATTTTATTAGAGAGCGATGAACCAGTCTTAACAAAACCGGGGGTTTTAACGATGTTCATGCGTGTTTTCTTAGCATTTACTGCTTCGTTCGAATTTTCCGCATGTACACGCTTAAGATCATTGCGATTTGAAGCCGAAGGAACTGAAATAAAATAAATAAATTACTATTGTATTGATGAACATTATAGAAAATATGTGTGTAAAGATAAATTGTTATAAATATAAACGGTTTTTTTTTTTAACAAAAGTTTATGAAGAAAAATCAAGAATTTAAAAAAAAATGTTAGTGATATGTTTAACATATAGAAAATACGATTTTTAAATATATATATATTAATAAAAGGAGATAGTTGTGAAGCTATAGTATTATATACATGTATATGTAATGTAAATATATTATATAGGTATGTAAAAGTAAAAACAAAAATGATATAGAGCTCTCAGTTATAACAATAATACACATCATTATTTTGTTAAATAATAGTAATAATAAGATGTATCTACGCTTACGTTCGTAATACTAATAGTAATAACTAATTATAACTTTAAATATGTTTATTTGAAATATTATCAGATTATTTTAGATATATACATACTTTTGTATACCATGAAATAATAGTACTAGTAAATATGTATATATGAGAGGTGTTCATAATATTATTTTATTATATATACCTATTTATATTATTGTTATATCATAGGAGGTGAATAAACATATGAATAAAATATTTACCATTATAATCGTAAATGTGTTCAGCTGGTTTAAAAAAATCTTGAATTTCTCGCTTGGTTATGGTTGGTTCTTGTTGAATTACAATACTTGAATCTGAAAATAGTATTATTATTAATTATAGATACTTAAAAAAATGATTCATCGAATAAATTACATTTTTATTACCTTTATTATTATATATTCCTTTAGGTAGTATAATGTATATATGTTGTATTAAACATGATATACGTAGCCTTGATTATATATATATATATATTATCTAATAAATCTGTAAATAGTTAAAAAAATACTTACGGTGTTTATCCTTGGTATGTCTGATGAGACTATCTCTCCGTGTGAATATTTCTGAACATATACTGCATGAAATCTTGTTGGAAACATCGTGTGACTTGGCATGTCTGTGTAGACTACTGATTCGAGTAAAGGTTTTACCACATATACTACACGGGAACATGATTACGTTTGATGAAAAACTGAAGAATACTAGTCGAACTCGCAAAACAAGTCTTTACCCTTCAACGAATAGATGGGTAATGAATTATAGAAAAATATATTGTACTTTAAATAACAGTGTGAAATTAGTTTTATCTAAGCGAATTATTAACGTATGCGCTAATATCAGAACTAGTGGTGAAAAAATGAACTACGGTGTTCATTAAAGTAAAATAAATAATTTGATTTTTATAATACTTGTAAAATATTTGTATACACTTTAAAAACACTTAATAACTCTGAAATAACTCGACTTGACACTTGAACGGTAGTAAACGGATTGATCTCATATTGCTCTGTGCACTATACATTATGGCTGGAATTCATCGACAATACTCGGACGTGACACTACAGGCTTGTACAGGTCTGCAGTCGGATGATGTTGTTAGAGCGTGAGGACGGGTGGCGGGGTGTAAAATATAATTTAGAGTGGTACTTTGTTGGATTGGAATGTTTTATTTCTTATAACTGTGACCATGTGTGTGTGTGTGTGTTACATTTCGATGTATAAAGTATGCTTTAGCCTTAGCGAGATGCTTTAGGTTCGAATGGGATTATAATCTGAAAATGGTATAATATTTTTAGATATGTGTTATGTTGTTACCTTATATTATATTATTAGTATGTATGATATAGTCGATACATATTTACATCAGAATATTATATTTATATTTTTAAAAGGGTAGGTAATGTATTTGATTAGGAAGGGGTAAAATATATGTCGGGCAAGTGTTCGATATAGTCGATACAAATGTACATCAGAATATTATATATATTTTTTAAATGGTAAATAAAAGGGGAGGTAATGTATTTGAAGGGGAAGGGGTAAAATATATGTCGGTCACGTGTAGGATGGGGTGACGTGTGACGAGTTTATGTGTGTTGCGGGTTGCCTATATTGAGTAATTAATGCAAGTTTGAGCGGTGCGTGTACTTCGAATTGCCTATACAGAGCAGCCTATGATTTTACATGTAAAATTTAAGGGGGCGGTGCTGCTGAACATACCAAATCATACTACTTCAAATTATTTAGATTACTATTCAATCAATTAATGCCTATGTAAAAAGATATAATAAACAGTACAATATTGAAAGTTCTTACCTTATTTTGGATTTTAGCACGAATTAATTTTCGAGGGAAAAATATTCATATAACTGATAACATAAATTTGATATCAAACGTTGATTACTTAACTATGCAAGTGTGGCTAATTAACAAAAAAAAAACTCCTCAAATTATCAATAACATTATTATTTATGAATAAATGAATAATAACATATCAAGGTGCCATTAACTATACCAGTCTCAATAACTCTACACTTTACCCTATTATAGTATTTCGTCAGGAACGTTTTTTAGCCTCGTCGTGTCATATAAGACTTAATTTCAATAATATATTGTTGGTCTGTAGGGTTGATCGGGTTGTTAAAACGTAACAACGTTAAAACGTACGAACTAAATCTAAAAACAAGGTGCCAGAGCCCCAGAAGTATCAGGGACTCATGGTCTAATCGTTACTTTACTTCAGTCTCGGCGGCGGCGGCTCGGCGGCTTTTGAGGCGACTTGCGGCAGCATTTGTAGCTACTCCTCGCTCAACGGCCATCACAGGTATACCTAGGATTTTTGAGCTTTCGTCCATAATAACTTTTTTTATTCTTATCTCATTTTGGTGCAAATGTCTTCCACCGGTACAAACAGCTCGGGGTCCGCGATATACCATAGGTAGATTGCCTACCTGATAATATATTGCTGCGAATCTCACGGGATAACGCCGGTCGAGATGGCTATACATTAAAATATAATATCATTTACACTTGAAAAGATATTGCTTCAACAGTATATTACACCCCAAAGAAGTTGAGCCATCAGAATTTTTTTCAAGTTAAAAATAATATTAATTCAACTTACATGATATAATAACTAATAACAATATAAAATATCCAGACTGACAAACCGTCTCCGCTCAGAATCGTTTTTCTTATACAATAATTGTATATCATTGAATTCAAGTTTAATGCAATCCATTATACAATGACCCACGCGTAGCTTACTGTACAGCAGAGCGACATCCACTAACCCGCTTTTTTTTTTTTTTTTTTTTTTTTTTTATTGTTCCTGAAATTTACAATTTCTGCTTCGACAGCTAGGTCATTAGCATAGCATTATAAGCATAATTACATACATTTATAATATGGAAGGTAGAGAGAAAAAAAAAAAGGACAATAGAATAAAATAAACTAACAATTAAGATAAGACAGTTATGAATTAGTTATTTGGTATTTGGTACATTGTAAGTGTTGACTAAAGTAAATTAAGTATTTTAATTGCTTTAAAAATTTAATGGTGTCGATTTCGTTATCTGGATTTGGACCTAGACTAGTTCCAATTTGATGGCTTATATTGAGATCCTCTCTTTGTTTTTCGTACATTCTACATTCTTCAAAGATGTGTTTGATTGTAATTGTGGTACCGCATGATTGGCATAAGGGTGGGTCGCCTTTATTCATTAGATATTCATGAGTCAGTCTCGTGTGACCAATTCTGGCCCGATTTAGTTTTTTTTCATCTGAGGTAGAGATATTAGGGTTTCTTCTCCATCTTTTGACCGTTTGTTTAATTTGGTTTAATTTGTTGTTTTGTGTGTTCCATACTTTTTGCCACATTACAATGGTGTCTTGTTGTATTTGTTTTCTTACATCAGAATAAGAAGCAATGTTGATAAACTATGAGTTCATTGATCCGATAGCTAATTTTGCTTGTTTATCTGCCTTTTCATTACCTATTATTCCTATGTGACCAGGTATCCAAATTATAATTATATTGTTGTTCTTTTGGTTTGCTTCTACTAGTTTATTTTGAATTTGGGTTGCTAGATCACTAGGATTAAATTTATTTTTTATACTAGTTATCGCGCTTAACGAGTCACTTAAAATAAAATATTTTTGGTTTACATTTTTGTTTATGTGTTTTATGGCTAATAATATAGCAAGTGCTTCGGCTGTATATATGGAACATGTTGATGGTAATTTGAATGATGTCTGTGAATTGTTTTTTATTATGGCTAATCCTACTCCTTTGTCACTTTTGGAGGCGTCGGTATATAATTCCTGGAATTCATTTTGGTTCTCAAGGATATTTTTCAGAAGGTTTTTATATATATGTGGAGGTGTGTTTTCCTTGGGTAGGGTATTCAATTCTGTGTTAATTTTATATAGGCTTATCCATGGTGGGTTAATTATTTTTTCTTTTGTTATTATTTGTGGAATCTTGGTGTAATTTTGATTTTTTTTTTAGTTCTAGGGTTATGTTGTTAGTTGATGCTGGGTTATTTATTAATCTTGTTAGTCTAGCAGCATTATATAAGAGTCAGCTCTGTTCTTTTGAGATCTGGCGTTGGTTCTCCCGCTATATTATAGATACTTTTAATTGGGCTGCTTTTGAATGCCCCTATAGCCATTCGCATCCCTGAATTGTGATTAGAATTTATATATTTCATTAATGTGTTTTTTACTGAATTATATATAAAAGAACCGTAATATAGTTTAGCTTGTATTGTTGATTTAAATATTTTGATCAACGTTTCCGTTTCACTACCCCAATTTGTGTGTGATAATAGTTTTATCAATCTAAGTGCTTTGTTTGTAGATATTTTCAAAGATTTTATATGTGGCGACCATGTGAGCCTAGAATCAAATGTGATACCTAATATTTTTATGCATTTTTTGTTGGGTATATTTGTATTATCAATTTTAATGTTAAGCTCCACTACATTTGATTTCCTAGTAAATGTTATGCAGTTTGATTTTTCTATTGAAAAACTGAAGCCTGTTTTTGCTGACCATTTTTCTAGGTGTTTTGCTGTTACTTGTAAGTGATATTGTACTGTTTTGATATTTTTACTTCTACAAGAAAAATTTGCATCATCAGCAAATATGTTAGCTTTTATGGGAAATTTACAATGTTTGTCAATTTTGTTAATTGCCACTAGAAATAGTGTAACTGAAAGGGCGGATCTATGGTGTTGGAAATTAAAATCCCGTTTTTAGAGGTTTATCGTAATATTTCGGTGGTTTTTCCCGTGTCATTAAATAGCTATTGAGAAAAAAGAAAAATGTTCTGCCTAAAGTACAATATTGATCCAATTTGCTAAAATATAAGATACTATATATTATGTTAACCTAGGGCTAATATTTTGGTGTCATGTTTTTTAAGTATTCAAATACTTTTTAAGTACTCAAAATACGTATTGTAAATACATTAAAAAAAAGTACTTCTACACAGTATTTGAATACTTTTTTGAAAGGATCTGTATTTAAAATTAAATACTATTTTAAATAATTTATTTGTCTTACTTTATTTACAGGGACGTTAAACTTAAATACAAATCATAAACATTTGAAATTTTACAACATTTTTATTTATATACTAAATAATAATTATCCATTTAATTTAATATTTGAATATATGTAGTCCATCGATTTCCTAATAAAATTGGAAATACCTTTACTCGAATTAGGCAATCTCAAATAATCTTTATTTATAAAATGTAATAATAAAACAATAATATTTATTGTAACAAAGAATTATGTACCTACTGTCTTTCATTGAATAAAATATTATCCAATGCATTATAATTGTCAATTACAATTGAATCATCACTTTCCTTAATTACGAACTTTACAATAAATAATAGTTACACACATACAAATAACTAAGTGGCGGGACTTCGTGATAATGCAGAAAACAAACATAATGTAAGCCACTGACTTTGATATATACCTAAATACATAATACCATATTGTAGTAGAATAAAAATACGGAAGATAAAAATGGAAAATTAAATGTAAAAGTTACAGAAAAAGTAAGGTTAGTTGATAAGGTGATGTAATACGTAAAAATATGACCCATTCGACAGTGTCCTTCGAAGAGTGAGACGCGACGGCGAGCCCTACTACTATAATAGTACACGTGTTAAACGGTATAATAAATTAATATTTGTATACAATTTATTCAAATGTACACTTATTTTTATATATTTAGATTGTATACCTACCTTCATAAATAAAAAGTCTACAAACTATTATGGCGATATTTATAAACAAAAATATTAGTAGTTCATTAAAGGATATCTTCTTTTTTTAAATTTTTGAATATATATTATCAACTCCATCATCTATAAATCAATTTTACCTGACTCATCACTTATAGCCATAGTAATATATAGGTATACAAATATACGATAAATTTACAGATTAATTTTATTTTAAATTATAGTATTATTTTTTTTTATTGCTTACTTACTAGTTCAAGTTTCGTCTGTTTATTAAACATACCAGATATTGTTTTCACGTACATTAAACCAGCACCCCCCCCCCCCCCCCCCATACGATTTTCATATTTTTTTTGTCCTAATATTTAGTATGCAATTAGTATGAATTAGTATGACCATTTTTCAAATTTGTACGACCTATGTTTTCCATGTAATTGTGTGATGAGTATTGAGTTGGTAGATACTTGGTTACTAGTCATTTCATTTATAATTTTTTATTTAAATAAATAATATATTTTGCACGTATAAATATATTGTTGGCCTAGCGGTCTAAGGCGTCGGTTGCGACGCAGCCGATGTCGACTCGATTCCCGGCCGCGGGTGGCATTTTTCTTCGGGCAAGTCACGGTGTCCGGAGAATAAGTTCCACCATTTCCCCCACCCGGGCATGCCAGATACCTATGGACGCCCACTGATAATTATGTCAAACACACAAGTGTTCCATCTATCTACAGTTCCACAAACTAATAATCACAGTAGTTGAAGTCTCAACCATCAAAAAAAAATGTATATTTTAATAAATCAACTATACATGAGTTCGAAGGTTATGCTGGACTACCACTGATTTTCCTGCGCTGTGGTTCAAAACTGTCTACGCAGCGGAATATGTGACCGTGCTCTTTCTCACGAGTACCTACATGGATATGTATAAACATAAATATATAATATATAATACGAAATGCTTATTTTACAATACCTAGTTATTTTATAATTATTCTTATACTACTGCTACTAAATGAAATGGGTTTATAAAAATATATATTATATTATAAATATTTATTTTTTAGTAGGCACCTACCTAGTTATACAATTTTCGAGTTTTGGATACAAACTCTTAAAAATGATTATTGTTGCCTGTTGTGTAGTATCACGATGTAGAGGAGATATCTTAGTATATAAAATCATACTGTATACTGAAAACGATTTTGAGCAGACTTATATTAATAAGTATATTTTTTGTTATAATTGCTATTAAAGTAATTATATCTTTAGTAATACAGCGTAGTCATTGAATAAATTTATGCCGAAACAATAATATTGTTACATAATTTACTCTCATCTTGATATCAAACTGTATATAATTTAACTTACAGCAGTACACTTTTTTTTAACTAATTTTTGGAAGGCCAATTTTTGTAACACATTATCTATGTTATAGAAACGCAAACCAAAAAAATTAAATTAAATTAAATTAAATCGCTAACCAAATGTTACTAGATATTTTTCAATTGTACTATACCCAAATTATATATCTATAATTCCTCAATTTAATTTAACTTACCTAATGTTTTTATCATACTTTTGGACTAAGTATAGTGTGTTCACATTCCTGATTCCTCGTTCAAATAATTAAATGAAAATATTTTTAGATTCTGAGTGGTACGATTAATGTATTGATTTTACAATGATGTGTGTATTTATTTATTTATTTATTTATGTTTTTGTGTACACAATAATTAGTCGAAATAATGCTTCGATTTTCAAATTCAGTATCTTGTTCGATTGGAAAGTTAATATTGTTGGTGCATTCGGGATTTCAAAATTTAAAATTCAAAGTAATTTTCAACAGCGCCAAAAAAAACAAAAGAACAATTAAATAAAAAAGCGGGAATTTTTACGCAAAATCGATTATACAAAAACCGAATTTGGAGTTTGGTGTAACCTTAAAACAAATGACCGTAGAAACATGAAATTTTCACTAGTTGTTTATATTTGCATTTTCTATTCAAAATACGATTTTCAAAATATTTTGACTCTTTTTAAGCTGTTAACGGACATTCACTGTTTTCAATTTTTCTAGTGTTTTTTCTATTAATATCAATAGTTTTACCTGTTGGGCCAAAAATTTTAAAAATTTAATTCAAGGCTCTTGATAAATTGTTACAATATCAGTTGAAAAATATTTTTTATAAGCATTTAAAGATCGAATTTTGACAAAATTTATCAGAGTTTGTTGTTAATGTATAAAGCGTTATAAGTACCTAATGGATATTGTGATATGATTAATTTGGAATTTATTATAGGTACCTATTATAGATCATTTTTTTTAATACCATAGATAAGTATATAATATGGCTCAAACCTAGACTGACATACCGTCTCCGCTCAGAAACCTTTTTCTTATACAATGATAATAATTATATAATAATTATAATTATTTTATAATTATAAATTATTATATAATTGAATTCAAATTTAATACCATCTATTACACAGTGACCCACTTGTAACCTACTGTACAGCAGAATACCTTTTTCAATATACATGATATAGATACAATGTCTACAAAATATCATACAAAATATATGTATGCCGTACGATACCTGATTGTCT